AATGAGAGAAAAAAGATAAAAGGGGAAGGAAGCAAAGCTAGAGAAGGAAGGAAGGAGAGAAGGAAAAAAAGGGAAGGGAGGAGGAAGGGGGGAAAGAAGGAAGAAGAGGAAGGAAAGAGAGAAGGAAGGGAAGAAATGAGAGAAAAAAGAGAAAGAAAAAGGGGGAAGGAAGGAAGGAAAGGTAGAGAAGGAAGGAGAGAAGGAAAGAAAAAGGGAATGAAGGAAAGAGGCAGAGAAAGGAGAGAAAGGGAGGGAAGGATAGAGGATGGAAGCAAAAAGCGAAGGAAGGAGGGAAAGTAGGGAAGGAAGAAATGAGAGAAAAAAGAGATAAAAAGGGGGGAAGGAAGGAGTGACCATCACTCATAAAACACTGAAAAACACAGCAAAAGAGACTTATAAAAACAAAAAACGCATGCACAAAACCATAGATATACATATATACACGAATATATACACACACACATATACACAGATATACACACACAAAGCACATATACATAGACTGGGCCACAGCAACAGGTGGTAGGTGACAGCTTCTACTATTACTTTTACTACTACTACTACTACTACTACTAATATTAATATAATAATAATAATAATAATAACAAGATGAGTCTGCTGTGGACTCATCTTGATGTGTTTCAAATAATAATAATAATAATAATAAGATGAGTCTGCTGTGGACTCATTTTGTTGTTTTTCTAATAATAATAATAATAATAATAATAATAATAATAATAAATCTTAGAGTTGGAAGAGACCCCAAGGGCCAATTCTTTGCAATGTTGTAGAAACGGTTTTTTGGTTGGAGAAGGAAAAAAAAAATTAATTTGTGAAGCCAGTGATAAGATCCATTTGAGGAAGATCCCTACAATGACGGAAACTCCCAATATTGTTCTCCGATCCGTTAAAATGTATGGCTGTTACTTCAGAGCGCCTGCTTTCAAAACAGGAAGGAAGTGAGCTGACGTTTCCAAGCTATCAAAAGTTTCAGCCTTGTTAGAAACGTAGGTTTCTCTGTTCAGGCGGATTTTATTGTGTTACCCATCTCTGCTCCCTAAACAAAACTACAACGCAATAAAGATATATAGTGTTCATTGTTACTTTTATTCTTTCTGCAAGATGATATACAAACTGGGTTGTTGTGAGTTTCGCAGCCTGTCTGGCCATGTTCCAGAAGCATTCCCTCCTGACGTTTCGCCTACATCTATGGCAGGCGTCCTTAGAGGTTGTGAGGTCTGCTGGAAACTAGGAAAATGGGGTTTATATACCTGTGGAATGATGTCCGGGGTGTTGTAATTGACTACCTTTATTTGCATTGAATGGCCTTGCAACTTCAAAGCCTAGCTTCTTCCTGCTCAGGGGAATCCTTTGTTGGGAGGTGGCCCTGATTGATTTTTGTCTGGAATTCCCCTGTTTTTTGAGTGTTCTTTATTTACTGTCCTGATTTTAGCCAAATTTTTGTGAATTGTATTATTGTTGTTGTTGTTATACACAAGGAGACTCAAAGAGGCTATTATTATTAGACTGTATTATTATCATTATTAATAATATTATCCACAAGGAGACTTGAAAGAGATTATATATCTATTATTATTATTAGAATATATTGTTATTATTAATAATAATCCAACTCACATGGAGACTCAAAGCGGCTATGTATCTATTATTAGTATTAGACTGTATTAGTATTATTATTATCCACAAGGAGACTCAAAGCGATTATATATCTATTATTTTTATTAGAATGTATTGTTATTATTAATAATAATCTAACTCACATGGAAACTCAAAGCGGCTATGGAACTATTATTAGTATTAGACTGTATTATTGTTATTATCCACAAGGTATATCTATTATTATTATTAATATTATTAGCATGTATTGTTATTATTAATAATAACTCATATGGAGACTCAAAGCGGCTATGTATCTATGATTAACATTATTTATAATATTATCCACAAGGAGACTCAAAGCGGCTATATATTTATTATTATTATTAGAATGTATTTTTATTATTAATAATAATATAACCCACATGGAGACTCAATGCAGCTATGTATTTATTATTAGTATTATAATGTATTCTTATTATTATTATCCACAAGGAGACTCAAAGCGATTATATATCTATTATTATTAGAACGTATTGTTAATAATAATAATAATAATAATATAATCCACATGGTGACTCAAAGCAGCTATGTATCTATTATTAGTATTAGAAGGTATTGGTATTATTACTATTATTAGTATTAGAATGTATTATTATCTACAAGGAGACTCAAAGTGATTATCTATTATAATTATTAGAATGTATTGTTATTGTTAATAATATAACTTACACGGAGGCTAAAAGCGGCTATGTAACTATTATTAGTATTATACTGTATTATTATTATTATCCACAAGGAGACTCAAAGCGGCTATGTATCTATTATTATTATTATTATTAGAATGTATTGTTATTATTATTAATAATAATAAAGCGGCTATGTATCTATCATTATTATTATTAGAATGTATTGTTATTATTAATAATAATAAAGCGGCTATGTATCTATTATTAGTATTAGAATGCATTATTATTATTATTATCCACACTGAGGCTGAAAGCAGCCATGTATCCATTATTATACCTCTACCCCTAGTGCTGCAGCGTGTTGAACCGCTGAACTTGCTGACCAAAAGGTTGTTGGTTTGAATCTGGGGAGTGAAATGAGCTTCTGCTGTTAGGCCCAGCTTCTACCAACCTAGCAGTTTGAAAACATGCAAATGTGAGTAGATCAATAGGGAAGGTAACGGCGCTCCCAGGCAGTCATGCCGGCCACATGACCTTGAAGGTGTCTATGGACAATGCCGGCTCTTCGACTTTGAAATGGAGATGAGCACCAACCCCCAGAGTCGAACACAACTAGACATAATGCTAGGGAACAACTTTAGTTTGTTTATTTATCCATTGTTATTAGAATACATTATTATTAACTAGCTTGGGGACCCGGCGCTGCCCGGGTTATTAGAGAAATTGTTTATCAAGGTTGGTCTTTATCAGTTATTTATATGGCTCGCAGTGGTCTCAGGAAGTTAGTGAAGGTACTGCGAGTCCCATCATCTGTGGTCCATCCTCCTCCAAACTGCACCAGGATGGAGAGTGGGTCATGGGGGCTCTGTGTGCTAAGTTTGGTCTTGATCAGTCATTGGATGAGGGTCACAGCGGTCTCAGAAAGTGAGTTAAAGTACTGCAAGTCCCATCATCCATAGTCTCCCTCAAACATCACCAGAATGTTGAGTTGGCCATGGGGGCTCTCTGTGCCAAGTTTGGTCTTTATTGGTACTTGGTTGAGTGTCACTGTAGTTTCAGGAAGTGAGTGAAGGTACTGCAAGTCCCATCATCTGTGGTCCATCCTCCTCCAAACAGCACCAGGATGGAGAGTGGGTCATGGGGGCTCTGTGTGCTAAGTTTGGTCTTGATCAGTCATTGGATGAGAGTCACAGCGGTCTCAGAAAGTGAGTTAAAGTACTGCAAGTCCCATCATCCATAGTCTCCCTCAAACATCACCAGAATGTTGAGTTGGCCATGGGACCTCTCTGTGCCAAGTTTGGTCTTTATTGGTATTTGGATGAGTGTCACTGTGGCTTCAGGAAGTGAGTGAAGGTACTGCAAGTCCCATCATCCATTGTCCGTCCTCCTCCAAGCAGCACCAGGATGGAGAGTGGGTCATGGGGGCTCTGTGTGCTAAGTTTGGTCTTGATCAGTCATTGGATGAGAGTCACAGCGGTCTCAGTAAGTGAGTTAAAGTACTGCAAGTCCCATCATCCATAGTCTCCCTCAAACATCACCAGAATGTTGAGTTGGCCATGGGACCTCTCTGTGCCAAGTTTGGTCTTTATTGGTATTTGGATGAGTGTCACTGTGGTTTCAGGAAGTGAGTGAAGGTACTGCAAGTCCCATCATCCATTGTCCGTCCTCCTCCAACAGCAGCAGAGTCTCTCATGGGGGCTCTGTGTGCCAAGTTTGGTCTTGATTGGTCATTAGATGAGGGTTGCACCAGTCTTGGGAAGTGAGTGGAGGTACTTGAAGTCCCATCATCCATAGTAATGTGCACCAGGATGTAGAGTGGGTCATGGGGACTCTGTGTGCCAAGTTTGGTCTTGATCAGTCACTGGCCTCAGTGGTCTCAGGAAGTGAGTGAAGTGATGTGGGTTCTCTGTGTAAATTGTGGTCCTGATCCATCATTGTTGGCAGTTGTAATGGTCTTAGGAAGGGAGTGCAGGTATTGCAAGTCCCATTGTTCATGGTGTGTCCTCCAAACTGCACCAGGATGTAGAGTGCGTCATGGAGACTCAGTGTGCCAAGTTTGGTCTTTGTCGGTAATTGGATGAGGGTTGCAGTGGTCTCAAGAATTGAGCAAAGGTACTGCAAGTCCCATAATCCATGGTCCATCCCCGGCCAAACCACACCAGGACGTAAAGTGGGTCATGAGAGGTCTATGTGCCAAGTTTGGTCCTGACCAGTCATTGGATGGGGTTTACAGCGGTCTCAGAATGTGAGTGATGGTACTGCAAGTCCCATCATCCATGGTTCATCCTCCTCCAAACTGTAGTAGGATGTCGAGTGGGTCATGAGGGCTTTGTGTGCCAAGTTTGGTCTGTATTGGTTATTTTCTGACCCAGCCCCTGGCCTTTTTCTTTCCTCTCTTTGTCATCTTGGAATTGAGGCTGGCCAATCAGAGACAATATGCAAATTTCCTTCTCTCATGTCCCCGTTTCTGTCATGAACTCTTTTCTCCACCAGGGGCTCCTATTGAAGCTGGCCAATCAGAGACCATATGCAAATAGTACCACAGCAGCAGCCAATCAGAATGCTGGCACATACTCCTCCCGCCACACCGCCACACGTCCGCCGCATACAAATTTTGACTTGTATATGTATAGATATTATTATTATCCAAGAGATTCAAAGTGATTAAAGTTCTTTCTTTTCCTCGGTTTGCAGATCAATCCTTGACTTGGCCTTCTTCGCAATGCAGACTATCAAGTGTGTCGTGGTGGGCGATGGAGCCGTTGGTAAAACGTGCCTCCTGATTTCTTACACCACAAACAAATTCCCATCCGAATACGTCCCCACAGTAAGTAAAAGGGCCGATTGCACCCCGTCTTGTTGTCAACTTCTTCCATTGTTTCGCATTACAGACATGGATATTTTGCAAAATTGCTCATAATATGAAGGAATGTCTAGCTTTAGCCCTTATTGTTGATGTTGTTGTTGCTGCTAATATTGCTGTTGTGCAATTTGTGTCTAGAGGAATTTAGACCATTGCTAGGTAAACTCCACAAAGATTTTTTTTTAGTTTTCAAATATATGGCTTTTGGACACAACACACCTAACAGTCCAACGAGTGTCCATCACCCATAAACACACACACATACAACCTCAGCAGACCACGCTTAAAACCCCCCAAAATACACCATATATACATATACACATACACTCATATGCATATGCACATGCACGTACGGGTATATATATGCACAAACAAAATACACACATATACACACATACATATATATATATACACACACACATATATACATATACACATCCACATACATAGATATATACACACAAATATGCATATGGACAAGCACACATATACACAATATGCATGTACACATATAAATACACAAATATATACACACAAATATACACACACATATATCTATACGCAAACACACATATATACACACATACACAATATGCATGTACACATATAAACACACAAATACACAAATATATATATATATATAATATTTATTATATATATATTTATAATATTTATAATACATATTTATATATATTTATATTTATAATATTTATAATATATATATATATATACACACACACACACACATATATACACCCTATATATACGCAAACACACATATGTACACAAATAATAATAATAATAATGCATTTGAATACTAATAGCAGATACATCGGTGCTTTGAGTCTCCTTTGGATGATGATACTAATAATAATAATTATAATGCATTTGAATACTAATAGAAGATACATCGGCGCTTTGAGTCTCCTTTGGATGATAATACGAATACTAATAATAATAATGCATTTGAATACTAATAGCAGATACATCGGCGCTTTGAGTCTCCTTTGGATGATAATACGAATACTAATAATAATAATGCATTTGAATACTAATAGCAGATACATCGGCGCTTTGAGTCTCCTTTGGATGATGATACTAATAATAATATTTATTATTATTTACTTTGCTTCTATACCGCTGTATCTCAAGCCCGAAGGCGACTCACGGCGGTTCACAAACAGTAAAAACAGTAGAAACAGCAGTGGTTCCATACAACATATAACAATTGACTTAACACATTATCCATAAATTACCAATAAGCAATTACAATGCACAATTATTACAAAAAACAACAGTACCCAATCTTCTCATCATCCAAGCGTAGTCCAGGTTCGTCGTCCATTGTTCCATTCCTATGTTCCATTACCAGATTGCACTAAATTACTCAAACGCCTGCACAAACATCCAGGTCTTCACCTTTTTGCGGAATACCATTAGAGATGGTGCTAGTCTAATGTCCGTAGGAAGGGCGTTTCACAGCCGAGGAGCCACCACCGAGAAGGCCCTATCTCTCGTCCCCGCCAGCCGAGCTTGAGAAGCAGGCGGGATTGAGAGCAGGGCCTCCCCGGAAGATCTCAAAGTCCTGGTGGGTTCATAGGCAGAGATGCGGTCAGATAGGTAGCTTGGGCCGGAACCGTTTAGGGCTTTAAAGGCCAACGCCAGCAATTTGAATTCAGCCCGGTAGCAGATCGGTAGCCAGTGGAGTTGGCGCAACAGGGGGGTTGTATGCTCCCTGCGCTCCGCTCCTGTTAAAATCATGGCTGCCGAGCGTTGGACTAGTTGGAGCTTCTGAGCTGTCTTCAAAGGCAACCCCACGTAGAGAGTGTTGCAGTAGTCTAAACGGGATGTAACCAGAGCGTGGACTACCGTGGCCAAGTCAGACTTCCCAAGGTACGGGCGCAGCTGGCGCACAAGCTTTAACTGTGCAAATGCTCCCTGGTCACCGCCGAAACCTGGGATTCCAGGCTCAGCGACGAATCCAGGGTCACACCCAAGCTGCGAACCTGTGTCTTCAGAGGGAGTGCGGCCCCATCCAACACAGGCTGTAACCCTATGCCCTGTTTGGCCTTGCGACTGACCAGGAGTACCTCTGTCTTGTCTGGATTCAATTTCAATTTGTTCGCCCTCATCCAGACCGTCACAGCGGCCAGGCACCGGTTCAGGACCTGGACAGCCTCCTTAGTAGCAGGTGGAAAGGAGTGACAGAGTTGGACATCATCCGTGTACAGATGACACCGTACCCCGAAACTCCGGATGATCTCCCCCAGCGGCTTCATGTAGATGTTAAACAACATGGGAGACAATATTGAGCCCTGAGGAACCCCACAAGACAATGGTTGTGGGGTCGAGCAGGTGTCTCCTAACAACAACTTCTGAGAGTGACCCTCTTGTGACCGGAGCCACTGCAAAACAGTACCTCCAAGACCCATCCCCGCGAGGCGTCCCAGAAGGATACCGTGGTCGATGGTATCGAAGGCCGCTGAGAGGTCGAGCAGCACCAACAGGGACACACTCCCCCTGTCGAGCTCCCGGCGCAGATCATCCACTAAGGCGACCAAGGCTGTCTCGGTACCATGTCCCGGCCTAAAGCCAGACTGTGCCGGGTCTAGATAATCCGTGTCTACCAAGAATACCTGGAGTTGTGAGGCCACCACATGTTCCAAGACTTTGCCCAAGAAGGGGAGATTGGAAACTGGCCGATAGTTGTCGAATTTAGTGGGGTCCAGTGATGGTTTCTTCAACAGCGGTTTTATTATAGCTTGTTTTAAGCTCGCTGGAATCTTGCCTTCCCGAAGGGAAGCATTAACCACCACCTTAACCCACTCAGCCAATCCCCCTCTGGCCTCCTTTAGAAGCCAGGATGGGCAGGGGTCCAGGATGCATGTGGTTGGCCTCATTCCTCCAAGTATCTTGTCCACATCCTCGGGTTTCACCAATTGAAATGAATCCATCAAAATTGGACAAGCAGGTGCTCGTGTTACATCCTCAGAGACTGCCATTAACATGGTATCCAGACCAGAACAGATCAAAGCGACTTTGTCTGTAAAGAACTGAGCAAAAGCTTCACAGCGAGAATAACAATAATAATGCATTTGAATAATAATAGCAGATACAGCACCGCTTTGAGTCTCCTTTGGATGATGATACTACTACTACTACTACTAATAATAATAATAATGCATTTGAATACTAAAAGCAGATACATCGGCGCTTTGATTCTCCTTTGGATGATGATACTAATAATAATAATAATAATAATAATAATAATAATAATAATAATAATGCATTTGAATACTAATAGAAGATACATCGGTGCTTTGAGTCTCCTTTGGATTATGATACTACTACTACTAATAATAATAATGCATTTGAATACTAATAACTGATACATCGGCGCTTTGAGTCTCCTTGTGGAGAGAAAAAATAGGGTTATAAATAATAATATAATAATAATAATAATAATAGTAATAGAAGGTAAATTTATGTCAGTTGCGTCATAACATCCCTCTTATTCTTTATTTAATTTTCTGAAAGTAAAGTAATCTGGGAAAGACAGGAAATGGATTTGTTTAGATGTTTAGAACTTGAGCAACAGTGAAATAATGATTGAGTTTGTAGAAAAACCTCTCTGTACTATTGTTAATCTAAGAAGTATAGTTTCACAGTGGTACAAATATATAATTAAGACTAATTTCCGGACCAGAATTTGCTTAGGCAAGGGATCTGAACATACTTATTACTCCAGAAGCCCAATGGCAATACGTGGAGATGCGCTGGAATTCCTGCAAGCTTGCAAAAATCAAACTTATTGTGTAGGAGAAGTTGTAATAAACAAAGCAGTTGTCACTTTTTATCACTAGGCGATTATGTATTACGTTTCATAACACTACGCAACACGAGTTTTGGTCCTGGGCGATATATCAATGTCATTATTTCCTAATTTATTTATATTATATTTTATATATTAATTTTTATATTTCCATCATAAAAATGCAGCACATTATATTGTATTATTATATAATTATAATTTTATTATAAAAATAATTATATTATTATATATAATAATATATTATTATGCTATATTTTTTCTTAATTGGTTCTATCATAGAAACGTGGAAATATTGTATTATTATATAATTATAAATTATAAAAATAATGTTATTATTATATATAATAATAATATATTACACTATATCCTTTCTTAATTGGTTCTATCATAGAAACATGGAAATATTGTATTATTATATAATTATAATTATATTATATATAATAAAAGTATTATGCTATATCCTTTCTTAATTGGTTCGATCATAAAGACATGGAAATATTGTATTATTATATAATTATAATTTTATCATAAATATAATTATATTAGTATATATAATAATAATATGCTATATTCTTTCTTAATTGATTCTATCATAAAGACATGGAAATATTGTATTATATAATTATAATTTTATTATAAAAATAATGATATTATATATAATAATATATTTTTACACTATATTCTTTCTTAATTGGTTCCATCATAGAAACATGGAAATGCAGCACATTATATTGGATTATTATATAATTATATTATAATTATATTATAAAAATAATTATATTATTATATATAGTAATAATATATTACACTATTCTTTCTTAATTGGTTCCATCATAGAAACATGGAAATGCAGCACATTATATTGGATTATTATATAATTATATTATAATTATATTATAAAAATAATTATATTATTATATATAGTAATAATATATTACACTATTCTTTCTTAATTGGTTCCATCATAGAAACATGGAAATGCAGCACATTATATTGGATTATTATATAATTATATTATAATTATATTATAAAAATAATTATATTATTATATATAGTAATAATATTATTAATAATATAGTACACTATATTCTTTAATTGGTTCTATCATAAAAAAATGGAAATATAGCACATTATATTGTATTATATAATTATAATTTTATTATAAAATAATTATATTATTTTATATATAATAATAATATATTATGCTATATTCTTTCTTAATTGGTTCTATCATAGACATGTAAATGCAGCACATTATATTGTGTTATTATATAATTATATTAAAATTATATTTATATATTACAATCGTATTATATTTGTATTATGTTATAATTTAATTATATTATTGTATAATAATTATAATAGATCACACTCTGTGACATGACTTTTGTTCCTGGGTGATCAATGTCATTATTTCCTAATTGGTTCTGTCATTAAAAAACATGGAAATGCAGCACATCACAACCCTGAAAAGTTTCCCTTGTTTAGCTCTGTGTAGGACTTGTGTAACGTTGTGCATCTGAATTGGGTCCCTTATTTCTCCCTCTCAAGGTGTTTGATAACTATGCTGTAACTGTGATGATTGGCGGGGAGCCGTACACCTTGGGCCTCTTTGACACGGCAGGTAATTCACCTTTGCAGTTGGAAGGAAAGAAGGAAGGAAGGAGAGGAGGAAAGGAAGAAAGAGGGAACAAGAAAAGGAAGGAAGGAGAGGAGGAAGGGAAGGAGGAGGAAAGGATGAAAGAAGGAACAAGAAAAGGAAGGAAAGGAGAGGAGGAAGGGAAGAAGGAAGGAGGAAAAGAGAAAGGAAGAAGAGAAGGAAGGAAGGAGAGGAGGAAAAGAAGAAAGAAGGAACAAGAAAAGGAAGGAGGAAAAGAGAAAGGAAGAAGAGAAGGAAGAAAGAAAAGAAAAGGAGAGGAGGAAGGGAAGAAGGAGGAAAGGAAGAAAGAACAAGAAAAGGAAGGAAGGAGAGGAGCAAGGGAAGGAGGAAGTAAGGAAGAAAGAAGGAACGAGAAAAGGAAGGACGGAGAGGAGGAAGGGAGGGAAGAAGGAAGAAAGAAGGAAAGAGGAGGAAGGGAAGAAGGAAGAAAGAAAAGGAGGAACAAGAAAAGGAAGGACGGAGAGGAGAAGAGAAGAGAAGAAAAGGAGGAAGAGGAAAGGAGAGGAGGAAGGGAAGAAGGAAGGAAGAAAAGAGAAAGGAGGAAGAGAAGGAAGGAAGGAGGAGGAAGGAAAGAAGGAAGGAGGAAAAGATAAAGGAAGAAAAGAAAGAAGGGGAGGAAAGGAAGGGAAGAAGAAAGGAAGGAGAGGAGGAAGGGAAGAAGGAACAAGAAAAGGAAGGGAAGAGAGGAGGAAGGGAAGGAGGAAAAGAAAAGCAGGAAGGAAGGGAAGAAGGAAGAAAGAAAAGAAGAAGGAAGGGAGAAGGAAGAGGAAAGAGGAGAGAAGAAGGAGAAGGAAAGGAGAGGAAGAGGGAAGGAGGAAGAAAGGAAGGAAAAGGAGAGGAAAAGGAAGGAAGGAAGAAGAAAGGGAGGAAGGAGGAGAGGGAAAGAAAGAAGGAACAAGAAGAGGGAAGGGAAGAAGGAAGAGGAAAAGAAAAAAGGAAAAAAGAAGGAAGAGGAGGAAGGGAAGAAGAGAACAAGAAAAGGAAGGAGGAGAGGAAGAAGGAAGTAGAGAAAGAAAAAGGAAGAAAAGAAAGAAGGAAGGAGAAGGGGAATAAGGAAGGGAAGAAGAAAGGAAGGAAGGAGAGGAGGAAGGGAAGGAGGAAGAAAGGAAGAACCTGAGCCTGTGGTGTTTTTCCCTTGGCGGGTGTGTGTAGGGCAGGAAGACTACGACCGGTTGCGGCCTCTCAGCTACCCCCAGACGGACGTCTTCCTGGTCTGCTTCTCCGTGGTCTCGCCTTCCTCCTTTGAGAATGTGAAAGAAAAGGTAACGCCCCCAGAAATGTTTGGTTATCCATCCATCCATCTATCCATCCATCCATCTATCCATCCATCCATCCATGCCAGCAAGAAAGCCAGAGAGCCAGCCACAAGAGATCACAGCAAGCTAGCTATCCCAGCACACGTAGCCAGTAAACGATATCCAGGAAGCCATGATCCATCCAGTCCGCCAGACAGCAAGCCAGCCAGACAGACAGCGCCCATCCATCCATCCATCCATCCATCCATCTATCTTCCATCCATCCATCTATCTTCCATCCATCCATCCATCCATCCATCTATCTTCCATCCATCCATCCATCCATCCATCTATCTTCCATCCATCCATCCATCTATCTTCCATCCATCCATCCATCTATCTTCCATCCATCCATCCATCCATCTATCATCCATCCATCATCCATCCATCATCCATCCATCCATCCATCCATCATCCATCCATCCATCTATCCATCCATCCATCCATCCATCCATCCATCCATTCATCCATCTATCCATCCATCCATCCATCCATCCATCCATCCATCCATCCATCCATCCATCCATCCACCCCTGACAGATGGCCACCCAGCTTTGGCTTAGTTATAAATAATAATAATAATAATAATAATAATAATAATAATAATAATAATAATAGTACAACAGGCAGCAGAGTGATCTTGTCTGCTGTGAATTCATATTGTTGTGTTTCTAATAATAATGATAATAATAATAATAATAGAATGCCCCATTCTTCATTCCCTCCCTCTCCCTCTCCAGTGGGTCCCTGAAATCACCCACCATTGCCCCAAGACGCCCTTCCTGCTGGTGGGGACGCAGATCGACTTGCGGGACGACCCCTCGACCATCGAGAAGCTGGCCAAGAACAAGCAGAAGCCCATCACCCCCGAGACGGCCGAGAAGCTGGCCCGGGACCTCAAGGCCGTCAAGTACGTGGAATGCTCCGCCCTCACGCAGGTAAGCGGCACCTCGGTGGGTGGAAGAGATCTCATATCTGATATAACAATATCATAATAATAATAATAATAATAATAATAATAATAATAATAATAATATACTATATGATATATTATAACAATATCATAATAATATATACAGTTCTGCTGCCTGGTGTAATACCTGAAGTGTATAATAATATAACAATATATATGATTATATATATGATTTTATAATAATAATACATAATATAATATAACAATATAATAATAATAATATATGATATAATATAATATAACAATATCATAATAATATATAATATAATATAACAATATAATAATAATAATAATTTTTTATTATACAGTTCTGCTGTCTGGTGCAATACATGAAGTGTATAATAATATAACAATATATATGATTATATAATAATACATAATATAATATAACAATATCATAATAATAATAATAATAATAATAATAATAATAATAATTTATTATTATATTATTGTACAGTTCTGCTGCCTGGTGCAATACATGAAGTGTATAATAATATAACAATATATATGATTATATATATGATTATATCATATTAATATATAATATAATGTAACAATATAATAATAATAATATATTGTTACATTATATTATTATACAGTTCTGCTGCCTGGTGCAATACATGAAGTGTATAATAATATAACAATATATATGATTATATATGATTATATAATAATATATAATATAACTATATCATAATAATATATATGATATGATATAATATAATATAACTATATCATAATAATATGATAATAATTTATTATTATATTATTATACAGTTCTGCTGCCTGGTGCAATACATGAAGTGTATAATAATATGACAATATATATAATTTTATATATATGATTATATAATAATATATAATATAACAGTATCATAATAATATGATAATAATTTATTATTATATTATTATACAGTTTGCCTGCCTGGTGCAATACATGAAGTGTATAATAATATAACAATATATATGATTTTATATATATGATTATATGATAATAATATATAATATATAACAATATCATAATATAATGTATTATATTATATATTATAATATAACAATATCATAATAATATAATGTATTATTTTATATATTATAATATAACAATATCATAAGATAATAATTTATTATTATATTATTATACAGTTTATGCATTGCACTATTTATTTATTTATTTACAGCATTTCTATGCCGCCCTTCTCACCCCGAAGGGACTCAGAGCGGCTTACAAGATGTATTTTCATACAATATATTATATTATTAGCTTAGCACAATATCAGTATCATATATTACTATATTGCACTATACCATTATATTGTAATATTATTAGTAATATTACATGTAATGAAAATATATATTATAATTATAATATTGTATAATTATTATTACCAGTATTATGTTGTATTACATTATAATATTATAAATATTATATGTATATACAATATACTATATTATATTATTAGTAAAGACAAGATGGAACTGTCTTCTGCTCCCCTCTGTCTTCACTAGGCAGCAAGTATTTTCCCCACAGTATTTCTATTAGAATATTAGAATACAATAATATATTTTATATTTTAATTTTTATAATATGTAATATATATAATATTGAGAAGACAGTGATCCTGGGGAAAATGGAAGGAAAAAGGAAGAGGGGGCTGTCTAAGGGCAAGATGGATGGATGGCATCCTTGAAGTGACTGATTTGACCTTGAAGGAACTGGGGGTGGTGATGGCCGACAAGGAGCTCGGAAGCGACGGAACGAATGAACAACAACAAAAAACAACATATATAATATTATAACAATATATTATATTATGAAATAATATAATAATAATATATATTATATAATAATATAATAATATATTATATATTATATTATATAATAATATCATAATGGAATTAGTCCTTGCGCCATGGGACCCCAGCTTTTACTTCCTGGTGATAGAAGACCCATATATTTAATAATAATATAATAATATTATATATTATAATAATATATTATATATTATATAATATAATAATATAATGGGTCCTTGTGCTATGGGACCCCAGTTTTTACTTCCTGGGGATAGAAGACCCATATATTATATAATAATGTAATAATAATATTATATATTATAATATATTGTATTATATTATATTATATTATATTATATATTATGTTATAATATTATAATGGGATTGGATGTTGTGCCATGGAACCCCAGCTTTTACTTTTTATAATTATATTATATTATATAATAATATAAAATCTATTATATATTATATTATATAATATTATAATGGGATCGGTCCTTGCGCCTTGGGACCCCAGCTTTACTTCATGGTGATAGAAGACCCATATATTACATAATAATAATAATAATAATAATAATAATAATAATAATAATAATAATAATAATATATTATATTATATTATATTATAATATTATAATGGGATTGGTTCTTGTGCCACGGGACCCCAGTTTTTACTTTTTATAATATAATAATATAATATAATATTATATTATTTAATAATATAACATATATTATATATTATATTATATAATAATATTATAATAATGGGGTTGGTCCTTGTGCCATGGGACCCCAGCTTTTACTTCCTGCTGATAGAAGACCCATATATTATATTATATAATTATAATATAATAATATAATATTATATTATCCCCTGACATTAAGTCCAGTCGTGTCCAACTCTGAGGTGTGGTGCTCATCTCCATTTCTAAGTCGAAGAGCCAGCGTTGTCCGTAGACACCTCCAAGGTCATGTGGCCGACATGACTGCATGGAGAGCTGTTACCTTCCTGCCGGAGAGGTACCTATTGATCTACTCACATTTGCATGTTTTCGAACTGCTAGGTTGGCAGAAGCTAGGGCTGACAGCGGAAGCTCACGCCGCTCCCCGGAATCGAACCTGTGACCTTTCGATCAACAAGCTCAGCAACTCAGCGCTTTAACCCACTGCGCCACCATGGGATTGGTTCTTGTGCCATGGGACCCCAGCTTTTACTTTTTATAATATAATAATATAATATAATATTATATTATTTAATAATATAACATATATTATATATTATATTATATAATAATATTATAATAATGGGGTTGGTCCTTGTGCCATGGGACCCCAGCTTTTACTTCCTGCTGATAGAAGACCCATATATTATATTATATAATTATAATATAATAATATAATATTATATTATATTATTTAATAATATAACATATATTATATATTATATTATATTATAATATTATAATTAGAATATTGTATAATTTTACTTTTTATAATATAATATAATAATATAATATAATATTATTTAATAATATAAAATCTATTATATATTATATTATATAATAATATTATAATGGGGTTGGTTCTTGTGCCATGGGACCCCAGCTTTTTCTTTTTATAACGCAATAATAATATATTATATTATCATATAATATCTGTTATATATAAAATATAATTTAATTTCATATTATATAATTTAATAATATTATATATTATAAATATAAATAAATAAGTAAATAAAATATTAATGTATAATGTTATAATGGGATTGGTTCTTGTGCCATGGGACCCCAGCTTTTACTTCTGCTGATAGAAGACCCATATATTATATAATAATATAATAATAATAAATATTATATTATATTCATATTATGTTATAATATTATAATGGGATTGGTTCTTGTGCCATTTTTCTTTTTATAATATAATAATAATCTATTATGTTATAATATAAAATCTATTATATATTATATAATAATATTATAATTAAAAAAAACTTTTACTTCCTGGTGATAGAAGACCCATTCTCTTTCTCACTAGAGAATAATAACTTGGATAATAAGAATAATCAGCTAATGAGCGAGCTTCCTGGATATCTTGAAGGCCTATTGCATTCCATTTCACCTCTTGCAGCTTTGTGATTTCCTCAGTCCTAAACGTACTCATATTTGACTCTTACATAATAGCATAATATTCAATTTCTCTCTATTTTTGCTTTGTTTTGTATAGAGTACCTGTATATGTTGCTTGAAAAAACATGAAAGGGTTTTTTTTTCTCGTGTCAGGGCAGCCAGTCAATTATATTACATTTCTAACAGAACAAAGCAAACAAACAGAGAAAATACAAAATGTGTGGGTTTGGGAGTTGATTAAATGTCCTTTGACCAGTATCTGGCCACTTGGAGTGCTTCTGGTGTTGCTGCAAGAAGGTCCTCCATGGTGCAAGTAGCAGGGCTCAGGGTGCATTGCAGCAGGTGGTCAGTGGTTTGCTCTTCTCCGCACTCGCATGTCGTGGGTTCCACTTTGTAGCCCCATTTCTGAAGGTTGGCTCTGCATCTCGTGGTGCCAGAGCGCAGTCTGTTCAGCGCCTTCCAAGTCGCCCAGTCCTCTGTGTGCCCAGGGGGGAGTCTCTCATTTGGTATCAGCCATTGGTTGAGGTTCTGGGTTTGAGCCTGCCACTTTTGGACTCTCGCTTGCTGAGGTGTTCCAGCGAGTGTTCTGTAGATCTTAGAAAACTATTTCTTGATTTAAGTCGTTGGCGTGCTGGCTGATACCCAAACAGGGGATGAGCTGGAGATGTCACTGCCTTGGTCCTTTCACTATTGGCTGCTACTTCCCGGCGGTTGTCAGGTGGTGCAATACCGGCTAGACAGTGTAATTTCTCCAATGGTGTAGGGCGCAGACACCGTGATAATGCAGCATGTCTCATTAAGAGCCACATCCACTGTTTTAGTGTGTTCCACACTGGGCATGTGTACTCAGCACAAGGGCAGATGTCTTCACTGTATCTGGTTGTGATCCCCAGGTTGTGCCAGTCGGCTTTCGTATGATATTGTTTCTAGCGCCCACTTTTTGCTTGATGTTCAGGCAGTGCTTCTTGTAGGTCAGAGCACGGTCCAGAATGACTCCCAGGTATTTGGGTGTGCTGCAATGCTCCAGTGGGATTACTTC